GACAGCTTTTATATATATACACACACACACACACACACACACCAGACAGCTTTTATATATACACACACACACACACCAGACAGCTGTTACATACACATACACACCAGACAGCTGTTACACACACACACACACATCAGAGAGCTGTTACACACACACAGATTATTACACACCCGGTGTTCCGCTAACTGTCCTGCCGTTGCATTATTATTAGGGGTGTAACTACACACTCACTCCATGATTTGGTTCGATACACAATACTGATCTCACAAGATGGTGCTCTGTCGAAACGAGAGCTAATGTGCTCCAGGATTGATCCTGATGATGTTAGTAGGTAGTAAATCACATTTTATGGCATTCCAGCCCTGGCTTGCATTTACAAAGAAAGACTGCCAGAAACTTAACAGTTTCCTGAAATCAAAGCCCATTGTGAATGTAGATACTGATTAGAGGGGAATTAACCTGTGTGTGTGTGTGTGAGTGTGTGTGTGTGCAGGAGGTAGAAAAGACGTGTCGATGTGGCCGCTACAGCAAACTCCTGCCCTGTCATAAGGAATATCTCTGTGAGTCCAAGTGCAACAAGACACGGGCCTGCAGCCGACACCAGTGCAAGAGAAAGGTTAGTCTAACACACACACTCACTCACTCTCTCTCTCAAAGAGCGTCTCATTCACACCTCACATCCACTTGCAGCACTCAGTCACACACACCTGTGTGATTGTGTGTCACTGATAGGGTGGGTGTGTGTGTGTGTGTGTGTGTGTGTGTGTTTGCAGTGTTGCCCGGGGTACTGCCCTCGGTGTGACATGAGCTGCGGTCGAATGTTGGGCTGCAGGAACCACAAATGCCCGTCTGTCTGCCACCAAGGTGAACTCTGACACACACTCATGCATAAACACGTGTTCTGAGGTTAGAACACATCATGGCTGATTGGATATTTGCAAATCTTCAGACAGTGTTTTCAGATGATCAGGCGGGCTCTTTCTATCTCAAGTGGGCGCTTCTGGGCCAGAGTTAGAGTTTAGTAGTCATAACTTGTTTTCATGATGGATTTACACAAAAATACATTAAATATTGAAGACAACAGGTTAAAATAAAATTGAAATGAATATTTAATATAGTGCATATTTTTAGCAAAATGCTTATCTTTAAAGTAATTTTTCTTGCTAATTGTAGTCATTGAATGGCTTTTCTGAGGTAAATGTGATGTTGAGCACAAACTGTTTTATCGTCATCTTTCCAAGACATGATTGATTCCAGTGAGTTGTTCTGTTTCTTCTGATGTTCATTCATGTTTATTTGCTGCTGTAACTAGTAGTAAAGCGTAAGAGACGATCACTTCACTACAGTCATCTGTCACCACACATTAAAAATGGAAAATGGTATTTGTGTGAATTTCATAATAAAAAGGACAGAATTTATCAGCAGATGTTGTTTCATATTAAAGTTACAAAGCACTTAAGCTTGTTGTGATTTATCAGATGGGTGTTTTGTTCACATATAAACTGGGACAGCACAGATCGATTCTTGAAATGAGAATCGATTCAAATCGAGCAGTCGTTATTTTCTGCCCAGCTGTAGGAGTTAGCGTTCCTAATCTCACCATCTCTCGGCTCTTTTATTTTTCCGAATGCATCTCTCTCTCTCTCTCTCTCACATGACGTCTGGCCTGCGTCCGGCAGAGCGTTTCCTGTGTCCAGCGGGAGTGTTTCCTGTCCTCGGGGCAGACGGGAGCATTCATGTCACTCTCGTGTGGGAGTTTGATTGGCTCTTGTGTTTGTCACGATCACGCTGGGCCAGAAGCGCCTCCTGTGTGCTGTTATCAGTGCAGTCAGAGTCCGGTTGGTCTGCATGAATGAGCTGACCTTTTCTCAGAGCAGGAGTGTGTGTGTGGGAAAGGTAACAGAGGATAGAGGTCATCACACACTGATGAATTGTTCGCCGATGCCTCGCACTTTCCTTTGCTTGCTGTGTGCCGAATGCAAATGTGCATCTGGAACAACAATGTTATCTGGCAAACCCCTGCTATCTTGGCTCTGATATCCAAATGTCAGGCGGCGAGTGTGTGCCTGGATTCAGATCAGCCGTTTCTGCTTGGTGAAGCCTAGTGGTCCAATGGATCACAAAAGTCACGGTTCGGATCACATTACAGATTTTGAGTCACAGATCAGATCATTTTTTTGAATCTACAAAAAAAAAAAAAGTTTGCTATTTCATTTATTACTGAAAGCTTACTTTAAGTACTTCTATACTACAGCAAAAACTACTAGCTTAACTAATAAAGTCAGGAATAAAACATGAACAATTACACAAATTAAAAGCATAGATGAATACAACATAAATTTACAAAAATGTCAGTAACAGTAGTATTCAGGTGCCGAATTGTAATCATTACAACAACTCTGGCATAACGACGATCGCGGAAACAAACGAAGATAACACACAAGCATATTCAAACAAAAGCCAACACGGATAAGTTGTGTGAAACAAAGCAAAATCAACGTTACTCACCTATCAAGGCAAGGCAAGTTTATTTATATAGCGCATTTCATTAACAATGGTAATTCAAAGTGCTTTACATAAAAGGAAGTAAAATAATCATAAAAAATAATCACAACAATAAAACAAGGAATTTAAAAACTTTTAAAATGATTAAAACATTTATTTAAAATTTAAAACAGTTAAAAATAGAAAATGATTATACATAAAATACAATGCAATCAGTTCGGACGTAGCACAGTGCTCATTCAGTCAAATAAATGCACAGCTAAGCAGATGAGTTTTGAGTCTGGATTTAAATGTGGCTGTGACGAGTGGACCGGGGCCGAGAGCCGTGGGAATGGAACGAGGCAAGTGGAGTGAATGATAATGAGGGACACCTGCGCCACTTACCGGTCTCGAGTCCCACAGCGGAGCTGCGGAAGGATAAAAGGAGGAGTTACGACGAGAGAGGACAAGGCCTGAACTATTTATGTTGTTTTGGTTTTGTTTGTGCGTGGCAGTCGTCCATGAGGGGCTGTCGCGCTATTTTCAGTTTTGTGTTTATTTTATTATTAAATTGTGTTTGAATGTTTGCCGGTTCCCGCCTCCTTCTTCCTGACCTACGAACTGTGTTACAGTGACTAATGTTTTAGCACATCTGATCTCTTCTGGAAGCTGGTTCCAGCTGCGGGCGGCATAATAACTAAAAGCGGACTCCCCTTGTTTTGTGTGAACCCTTGTTGTTTCTAACTGACTCGATCCTAATGATCTGAGTGCTCTGTTAGGTTTATATTCAGTGAACATATCTGCTATATATTTAGGTCCTAGGCCATTGAGTGATTTATAAACGAGTAAAAGTACTTTAAAATCAATCCTAAATATAACTGGAAGCCAGTGTAAGGACCTGAGGACTGGTGTAATATGCTCAGATTTTCTGGTTCTAGTCAGAATTCTGGCAGCAGCATTCTGGATGAGCTGCAGCTGTCTAATGGTCTTCTTGGCAAGGCCGGTGAGGAGACCATTACAATAGTGAAGAAACAATGCAACCTCGGCATCCACTTCCCGCTCCTTGAGTTCTCTTCACTGCTGGAAAGCTGCTCCGATATTTACACGGCTCCTATCTCTAGTCTGATCGTAACCCTTCTTTTTATTTTTATCTACGTCTCTATTTGTAGTCAGTCTGCTAATATCCGTCCTGTGCACTCAAATTGAGTGCTCTCTTCTCTCTATCATTACTAGACACGCACCTTACTGCTGATTGGCTACAAGTGTGTTTTGGGACTCGGTCCGATGCTGTGGTCAAAGCGTTTTTTAAATATTGCTTAGTGCACCTTTAACAGTTAATCTGTAAATCATATTTGAGCCGAACCATGGGGCCTGGTCCGTTTGGATCATCTACGATCCATTTCATCTTTAGTAAAGCCAGATTTTTCACAGCTCTAGCTGAGCTGATGTCATACACTATCCTGTCTGATCTCCTGTGTGTGTGTGTGTGTGTGTGTGTGTGTGTGTGTGTGTGTGTGTGTGTGTGTTTCGGGCAGGTTATCTCCAGGTCCGGGGGCGGGGGGGGTGGGGTGTGTGT